AATGCCATAACTCACAACAAGAACGGCAAGTGATCCAGTCATAACAAAATCTAGTGTATGCTTTGGCACCAGGTAAATTCCCTACAACAACAACTGAAAAAAAAAACTTCGTAGATATTTTTAAAATCAAAACATAAAACTTATAATTTTTAAATTCACTTGTATGTTGCAATCTAGTAAATAATCACATTGTGTTAAAATTCCTATTACCAGCTGTCTTCTAACCATCTCAAGAAGCATCATATCATCTACGTTAAAAAGCTCAACAATGTCATATGTTGTTACTCTTCTACCAATTGTTTTCAAAAGTAAAATTATAATCTATAACATGAATTAAACCATAATTATATAAAATTATATGTAATTTACCAATTTACATTCTCATCATGTTTACAAGTTGTTGCAATACAAGCATAAGAAAATTTCATCCATAATATCTATGAATAAAAAAAGAAACAAAAACAGAATTACACTGTGATATCCATTATTTTTAATAATTGTCAGCATTTTCATTGTCAAGAGGTTCGTGGTCATATATTGTGCAATACATCACATAGAGATTTTTGATTTTCAATTGAAAACCAATATTTAAAGATGCTTCAATCATTCTTATAAGTCCGTTCAGCATATTATTGTAAAATAATAAATTAATATGATTAAACAGTTAACATTTTATAACAACAAAAACATATTATGAATGATGATTATAACTATGATTATACAACTAATTTGATGATGATTAGACATTAGAGTATCATCCAGTTTAACTTGAATTTGTAAATTAGAACTCATATATCTTAAAAAATTTAGTCAAACTAATTCCAATACTTTTAACAAAAAAAAATAACACAAAATAGTATGCCAAACTTTAGAAAGCCAAATATTAAGATTTTGGTTGTTCAAGTCACCATTACTACTTATTTAACTTCTTCTATTCTTATCTTTTTGTGGGTAGCCTTTCTTAACCGGAAACTTGATCATTATGAAAATTGATACTTTTCATTTCTTGGTGTGTGGATATATGCAAAACCAAAATATTTATTTTCTCGTTCTTCTCATATCGATCAATATATATCTCTATATTTATCGACGTCAAAACCAACTATAATAACAACTTGTGTTCTTCGCATAGTTAAATCCAACATAAACTTTGGCCCCTTGTAAGCTTTCTACAATCAAGAATTAAAAATAAAAAATTAATAGATAATATATTAAATTAAAACAAAATCTTACAGTTTTGATGTTTAGTGACGTGACTATTATATTGTAACTCAGTTCATAATGTTAGTTACCATATTACATTTTGATTTCTAACCATCTTAAAATGCATAATTTCATCAACGTTAAAAGCTGAATACTATCATCTACTGATAGTCTCTCTACGTATTTTCTTAAAAGTAAAGTTATAATATATAAGATTAGTAGATCAAACCGTGACTACAGAAAACTATATTTAGTTTACCAAGTTACATTGTCATCATGTTGACAAGTAGTTTATAAGAACATTCCGCTTCGTCTAACACTTCGTGATCTTTAATATGATTGCCAGCATTTAAAAGGATTTCAATACTTTTTAACAAAAAAATAACACAAAATAGTATGCCAAACTTTAGAAAGCCAAATAACATATTAAAGATTAAATTAATATGATCAACCAGTTAATACTTTTATAACAACAAATACATATTATATATGATGATTATAATATGCCAGCATAGGTGTAATTTAGTTTTAGATACTCATACTACAGCTTAATAGTATATGTGGTTTAGTTTTAGACATTCATAATGTAGCTTAATGGTATTTCGTTACACTATACTAATATTTCATATCAACATATTAATGTATTCTAAGTAAGTATGTGTCGAACCCAACAAAGTAGTAAGTAGCAATCTTAAGCTACTTATGCTGTCTTCCATTTCGTCAGAAAGAAGACAAGAATCCAGATGTTATGTTTCACTCATTTCCTGGCATTGTGCTCTGTATCTGTATTTAGTTCTCTCTTTGGTTGTATATGGACCCGATAGAGCAAGATGCTGACATGATGCTCTTCTGCTTCTGTATTTCTATTGGGGATGTTTTTGATGTTCACTTCTCCATTTCGCCTTTCTTAAATGCTGCATTTCAGTAGTGTAAGCTTGCAGCATAAACCTCATTGACCCTTTTTTTTTTTACTGTATGATAATTGTAAATTGTTGAAGATGAAATTTGTTTATATTGACCATCAAAGTTGTATCTGAACGGTACCACCTCAGTTCCATTTCTAAATCATATACTATGTTTTATTTTCCTTTGAATAATTAAGTTATATTTTACTAGTTATAAATGATATCCTTCAAACCGCTTTTACATCAACTCTTGCATGTGAACCTAAGAAGTATGGAAGAACAAGAAGTGTCCATGGAGGATTTATGCATCTATCAACAGCAGCAGTATTAGAGTGGTTTTTAGGTCGTTCAATGATGTGCATAACTGCACATGGCAAGATAGGGTCTCCCTGCTGACAAATGCTCGAATTGCTGACATCTACATAGAAGAATTTAGGATCAATCCGAATATCTCGGCAAAGCAACTACAGAAGAAGCTCATAAAACGTAACATAAATGTTTCAGAAACAATATGTGAGCGGACACGGTTAAAGTGCTTGCAGACATTTGATGATGAGCAAGCCGAGTCATTTGCAAGAATCCACGATTACGTTGGTGAGTTAAAAAAGACTAATCATGGATCGACAGTTGAATGCGAGGTACGAGAGTCCAAATTCTATAGGTTCTACGTTTGTTTTCATGCTCTAGAAGAAGGATGGAAGTCATCATGTAGGAAGATAATTCACATCAACGGAACATTTCTGAAATGGAGGATGACTGGTCAGCTTTTGGTGGCTTGTGGAAGAAACCCAAACGATCAGATGTTTCCCATAGCTTGGGGCATTGTAGATGTTGAGAACAAGCCAAATTGGGAGTGGTTTTTTGAGCATTTGTCTAACGACTTGGATCTAGAAACTGGAAATGGGCTGACACTTGCTAATGACCAGTGTAAAGGTTTGATTGGAGCAGTGAAAGACGTGCTACCGTTTGCAGAGCATAGGTTATGTGCAAGACATGGCCATGCGAATTGGAAAAAGAAATATTATGGAGCAGACTTTGAAGACTTATTCTGGGGAGCTGCAGATTCTTACTACCATGCAGCCTTTAAGAGGAAAATGAATGAACTGAAGCATCTATCTCAGTCTGCTTATGATGATTTGAGGATATCCGTTTACTGTCCATGGTCAAGGTGAGTTTTCTGTTTGTATTCTTTGTATTATGGCTTATTTTCGGTTATATTTGTAACGTAACTCTATTTATTATGTTGACAGGATATATTTCAGTGAGCATTCAAAGTGTGGTGCGGTTGAAAACAATCTAGGAGAGTCTTTCAATGCAGCCATTCGGATTGCAAGGACCAAACCCGTGGTTGAGATGCTTGAAGACATTAGAAGATGTGTGATGACTTCAAATGAGAAGAAGCGATCCGAGGTAGAGAAAGCTAAAGGATCTTACACTCCTAGAGCAAAGGCTTTATTGGACCAACAGATTTACAAAACAAAAGATTGTATCCCTTTAAGTTGTGGTTTAGGCGAGTATGAGGTTACCTATTTTAATGACAGGTTTGTAGTGCAAATGAGAGGTGAACCGAGTTGTGGCTGCAGGATGTATAAAGTCAGTGGCATCCCTTGCTGCCACATGCTTTCGGCCCTGCGTATGGAGAGACACGATGATCAAGATCTAAATCTGCTTCTTTCTCACTGGTTCACCGTAGAGAAGCTAAGAAGCTGCTACGCTACTCCATTGAAGGCGGTTGGAGGCATGAACATGTGGAATAGCACTGATGCGTGTGTAAATCCACCTCCATATAAGAGGCCTCCTGGAAGACCTCCAGGGAAGAAAAGAAAGAGAGAAGTTGGTGAAACAAGACCAGGAATGATTCCTAAGAGAGGAACTAAAATTGTAAGTATTGTGAATCTTGCAATACTGTTTTTATCTTTGCAAAACACAACACTAAACTTGTAATTGTTGATACACTCTTGACAGCATTGTGGCCTATGTGGACAAGAAGGACACAACCGGCTATATTGTAAGAGTCTACATGTTGATAAGCCGCTTTCAAACCCACGTGGGAGGCCAAGGATACGACCGGTTACGGAAGCACCAATGATGTCTTCTCAAGTGCCTGATATATCTGCATCGTCTTCTCAAGCACCGGTGGTAGCTTCTCAACTTGTTGCACAAAGCCAACCAATGGAAGATCTTCCAAGTCTTTCAGCTGCTCTCCCAAAAAGGCGTCGAGGAAGACCTCGCAAAAGTCAATTTGATGGTGTTTCATCCTCGCAACCAAACCTTACAACTCCACGAGAACCTATTTATGATACAGGGCCAGTACATCTTCCGAGGGTAAGTTCAAATGATTGTGTAAACATTTGGTGGTTATGTGTCATTTGGTGGTTATGTATTTGTGTAAACTCTTGGTGATGACTTTGTTTATTGTGTAGGAAGGAGTTGGTCTCTTTACAAGCTCTATTACTGGTGACGACTACATCGCAGTTGGCTCACGTGTGACAGATACAAGTGACAACACCATCCTGCAAAGTACACTCTATCGTTCAAGAGAGAAGAAGAAATTAGCTGCTCGTGCTGCTGCTGGTGGGAAGAATAGTGAGAAGAGCGTGAAGTGATTATGTGTCTCAGTTTCTTTTGTGTCAAACTTTTTAGTCTTTTGAACATTGATTGTGTGTCTCAAACTCTGCTGTTTCCATGAATTTGTTATGTATTTTGATTCTCAATCTTCTTTCAAATACTATTTATGTATTTTGACTTGGGTATTATGTATTTTCAAACTTTATTGTGTATTTTGATTTTCTTATCATTTGTTCATCATTTGTTATTACAAAAATGCATAACACATATAAGACATAAGACACAAACGCCAACCAAAACAGCAAAAGAAGAGGAAGAAGAAGCTTAGTTACCAATCTGATCAAATACATAAGACACATAAAATCCATACATATAGACCCTTACAAGCTTGAAAATGAAGGATCTACAGCCGTTAACATACTTAAACTTTGAATGTCTTAAAAAATAAAGAACTAATGTCAAACTACTAATGTCTTACTTAAGACAAATAAGAATGCTGAGTAAGAGAAGAACAACGGCTGCAGCAATCACAATTTGCAGCTCAAAGCCGATTCTTATGCCACTTTGCTTTTTCTTCATCTCGGCCAACTCCATTTCCAACTTTGCGATCTTCTTCGTAGTCTCATTCTTCAGCTCCTTGATTTCCCCAGTAGCCATATAAAAATCATCCAAGTAAGTGAAGAAATCCATCTTCTCTGCCATTTCACCAACATTGCCATCAATGAGAGTTAGCTCCTCTATGACTGCTTCGTCCCACCACTTCCAAATGTGACAATCTCCATCTCCTACATTCACGCAAGTGTAGAACCTCCTTCTTGGATCATCGGCGAGTGGGAAGTATCGATGATGTCATTAGCTCCACAATCACACTCCTTCGTAAGCCCATAATCTTTGATGTTTCTCGTCACACTTGAAACACTTGTTGAAGGCTGAGTATAGCTGTGAATGCCCATCTCTGTGGGAAGTGATAAAAGAAACCAAACATTCTATATCAATCAAACGGCTTAATCTCTTTCGATAACAACTAAATAAAAAACATGAACAAAAAACATAATCTATTTTATGAATCAGATTTTAATTCAGAAACTCGAGCCCTCACATGAACTCGAATCCATAGATCCACATTCTCTAAGCATTTCTCATTCAGAAACTCGACCCCTCCCATGAACTCGAATCCACAATTTCAGTTATGATAGTTTCCGCATTCGACATTTCTACCATTTAAAGTCAACAAGATACAAAATTCACTAACCTCAGAAGCAGAAACACTAACAATCTTCAATTTTGTCGCCAATGGAGCCTCAACAAGAGAAGAAGATCGACTGAGCAAAACCTAATTTCGTTTTTTTCCCCAAATGTTCAACGAGTTGAAAGATATAAAGAGATAAAACCACGTGTTACATAAAAAACAACATGATTTTTATCAGTTCCATATTGTCTAAAACGCAGCGTTTGCTATTCCCTAACCGATATAACATCTGTTATAGACGAGGGTTGTTTAGCGGGTTGACCATGATGTGAGGGGTTGACTTGCATTTTCTGCAAATCAAGGTTAAACTTGCAAAAAAAAATATTTGAGGGTTTAATTGCAGAAAACCCTTCAATAATCAAGTTTACTAGTTATAAACGATGATATCCTTTAAACCGCTTTTACATCAACTCTTGCGCATGTGAACCTATGGAGAAGCATGGAAGAACAAACGACCAATTTAAAAATGGTAAAACTCAGTTCACCAAAAATCATGACAATTGCAAGATCCATCCTTAAAGCAATGAAAACTATTCACTTCCTTAACAACAATCTCTCTCTCTCCACAATCTCACTGATCAGCTTGAAAGCCTCATGGCATTCTCTTCAAGATCCATCCTTAAAGCAATGAAAACTATTCACTTCCTTAACAACAATCTCTCTCTCTCTCCACAATCTCACTGATCAGCTTGAAAGCCTCATGGCATTCTCTACATGTGACGATACACTAGCAAACGTGAACTCATTGGGACTTGGGAGATAGAGATATCTATCTTTATGCATCTCCTGAAACATAGACAGAGCATTTTTAGGTTGACCGATGTCGTTATATCCAAAAATAACCCAAGTTCAGGAAACGACATTTGGTTCACACATTCCATCAAACACTTTGCGTGCAGTGTGGATTTCTCTGAGCTTGGCATACTTATTTATGGGGAGATTTACAGTGAACGTGTCACTTGCGAATCCAAGTTTCAGAGTCAAATTATGTAATAGAAATTTTTTGAGAAAAAGGTCGGAAGATTATGAAAGCTTCTGGACCAAGAAACCTTTGGTTTTGAGTTTGAGATGAAAGAAATCGTTTTGGGAGTGATAGACAAACGAAGAAGTCGCGGGGGCAAAACGGACATTTTGGAGAAACCGGTTTATTCATCCGGTCAAATTGCCTATAATGCTCTCACACTCATGTAATACCGTTGCACACAGTATATATTTGCACTCACATACTTGGCAGACTCAAGCCTTGTCTCCTGCCAAGAAACACAAAAAGATAAGCACAAGAACCAGAGAACCGTTAGAGAGTAGAGAAAAATAAAATAAAAAAGGAAGACCAAGCTCATAACATGTTCTTCATCATGTTCTTCAATGGCTGCCTGTATGAGCAGTTCCATCAACTCCTCATTGCTCCCCGTTCATCTTCTATTTATGGTTTCCAGTCAAAGTTGACGACATTGAACACGTAATCGAAACCATCCCAGTCCACATCAAAACCCTATGAACAAATACAATAAGATTTTATAGAATAGCATGGATCTTGGAGGCAATGAAACAAATTGACTTATACATTAACCCTAAATCGAAGATATTACATATACCTGGCTTTCCTCGAACTGTTTTGTAAAAGAGACGTCGCTGTCCCTAACATTCCGGATCGTTCCGTTGACCTTTGAGGATTACTCTTCCCTTGTAGAACACGGAACCTGGTGGTGCCTTTGCCCTCGCTTCCGATTCTGTGTCTATCCTCAGCTTCTTTGGTGGCGGAATGTTGATCTCCGCCGAATCTTGGGACCGAATGCAATCGCCGGAAACAGCTATGGTCCAATTCCAAAACCCTATAAATCATATATTGTACGAATCCGCAGATAATGTTTGGCTTCGCTCGTCGAGAAAAAGATTAACAAAACTTCTTCCAATATATATGACTATTTAAATTAAATCTAATAACAATGCTGGATTCCTTGACTTGGAATTTGATGTTTAGCTTCTGCCTATGGGTTAAGCTGGTAGTTATTGAAGTCTTAACACGTTAATTTTAATAAGGGCATTACATTAAAGTTGCGTAAGAAGTAAAAAAAAAAATGATTCCACACAAGGAGTTCATTGACGTCGTAATCACATGGCCAGGAGAAGAAGAATAAAAAGAGATTATAAGAAGAAGATGAAGCCATTTACATGTCTAGTGTGAGAATAGATCCAAATCGTTCTTGTGTTGGCCTTAGCCTGAATTGGTTTAAAAGACACTGACATGCCCAGGAGAAGAAGAAGAAGAGGAGATTAGAAGAGGAGATGAAGCCATTTTTACATGTTTAGTGTAAGAATAGATCCAAATCGTTCTTGTGTTGGCCTTAGCCTGAAGTCAACCACAATGTCCTCATCCATAAACTTCCTCACCTTAGTTTGGTAAAGCTTTGGCTCTGGATCTGGTGAGGAAACATCTTTGGCCCAAAATGTTATAAAAAACAGAAAACCTTGGACGCCTATTACATTTGCGCTCACATACTTGACAAACTCGAGTTGTGTTCCCTGCAAGATACAAAGCAAAACAAAACAAATTTAGAATTTTTCTTTTTAAAAGTAAAAATAAAAATTCATCGATGATCAAGGAGCTCTGACGTTTTCTTCGTTCTCTTCTCCGATGGCACTCTCTATGAGACGTTTGAGTAACTCATCGTTGCTAATAACATCATCGAAATCTCCTCCCCATTCGAATTTGACGGCAGCGAAGTCGTAAGTAATACTATCCCAGTCCACATCGTAACCCTATAATCATAAACACCAACCCATCACTCCCCACACAACAAATCCAGAAAACGAGAATACATCTACGTACGTAAACCCTAAATCAAAGGAATGAATATCACCTCGCTCTTTTCATACTGCTCAAAATACATCTCTCGCTGTCTCTTATAATCCGGGTCGCTCAGATCCGGTCGCCGGAGAATTCGTACTTCTGGTTCGACCTTCGCCTCCGCCTCCGCCTCCACTTTCAGATCTAGCCTCGGCTTCTTCGCCAGAGGACTAACAACCAAGTCCGTCGAATCTCCAAATTTGGTGATATCGCCATCATCACCGCCCTCGCTCGAAGCCGTAAACATTATTCCTTTCTTGACTTTCCCAGGAAGATCCCAGAAACCGTAGGATTATAATATATTGAGGTAGGGCTCTTACAAAAAGACTTTCCAACTTTTTATTTTATTTTTGTAAGCCTACCCCGTAGCTACCAAATATTTAAATGGTTTTGATTTGAATTAGGTCATTTTACGGTGTAATGCTGTGGGATTTTTGTATTTACTGGTTTAATCATGCGATTTCCGGAGTTTTTTTCGTTCTCTCGTACGTAAGGCTAAATTTGTTTCTATCATATTTTACTGCTGATTTGTTTCTAAATTTAAATTTTTATTTAATTATGATATATAAAATATATATATTTTCATATATGTTATCGGATAATTATATGGCCGAACACTTAAAATAAATTTAAATTTGATCCCGTATATTCTAATATCATTATTTTATGCTAAAAAAAGTAAACTATGAATGTGTAGCCTTATATATAAATATGACCACTGTTTTTTAACGGTTTGTCATATTTTCTATATTTTGTAAAGTTTATTTTCTGTTTTTTTTTTCGCTATATATTGTTCAATCGTGGTTCCATAAAACAGTAGTTGTGATTGTTTTACTTTGTTTGTTCTTTTATAGTTTGACTAGGTATATAACTCGCGCTATGCACGAGTCTGTATTAATATTTTAGTTTATTTTTTTAACTACTATCTTTAAAATTATTAAAAATTATATATATTTATAAAAAATTTCATTTATATAAGAGAATTTAATATATAATGTGTAATTTATCAATGACACCTATCGAATTATCCAACTTTGACGTACATATACATTTGATTTAGAAAAATATAATCTTGCTAAGATTTTTGGTATTATTTTCTGCTTTCCATAGAATTTCTATAGTTCTTTTTTCTTGAAGGTTTATGTGTTCAAATATTTAGTTTTTTACTGAAAGTCTTATTGATGTTGTGCACCACTGTATATATAATTCATGATTCATGTTGATTCATGTTGATTCATATTTAATTTTGTTAGGAAGCTGTAATGATCATGCAAAACTATTTTTTCCTTCTCCATCATGTCTTCCAAGATTTTTATGTTATATTTTTATTCAGTTTTCATTGTTTTAATTGTTAATTCGAGTTGTTGTAGATATTTTTAAATTGATAATTGATAATAGTTACTTTTTTATATATGTATTGTTAATTGTTAATTTTTTTATTTAACTTTAAATTTTTTAAACCATATTAACATTTTCTGATTTAATAAATATGTTGATTTGGATCAATCAGATTGAATTTACTCTTTTGTTGGACATAATTTGTCAAATTAACTTTTAATGTCTTAATTATACTTAATAATTTTTGGTTTGATTTAAAAGCTGATGTGGACCAATTAAATCAAGTTTTTCTTTCATAATCATACTTAACATTTTTTTATTTAATGAATATGCTGATGTGGACCAATCAGATCGAGTTTTTTAATCTCATGTGGACGCTCTCAATGCACTATGCCATGAACTTTTATATTATATGATGATTGTCTGTCTATATTCACTCTGTTAGTTTTGAGTCTCAAGGTACCGTGACAATCCATGAACTTGCCCTTAGAGATTGTATGTTCCAATCGCCTTCTCTGAATTCCAACATAGGTATGTTTTGTGGAATAAATCTTTGGACCTATGTTTATTTTTATAAATTGGGTTATGAGTTTTTTTTCTATAATTTGAACACTTGTAGGATAATCTATTTACTGTTTGTTAGCTGCTAAGTCGGTGTCATTATAAGAAAACTGGATGACGCATCAGCTGAGTTCCTCATATAATGATTGTTTAGAAGCAACGTTATGTTTGATTATTTACTTTGTTTGCGCATATTTGTTGTTTTTTTCCTGTTTTTGATTATAATTTATTTGATTTTTAGATTTTTTTTAAACTATTACTCATGTTTTGTTTATTTGTCTTCCACTCTTGAGGTAGTTATGCGCATGTTCGTTTGGATGGGATTCCATAACTGGTATTTGGAGATCACGTCATATTTGCCGTGGTTCAGAAGGTGGGTGTTTTTTTTCTATAATTTGGTTTTTTCATGTTAAGTTCGTTGGTTTCACTTTATTTTTGTGGTTCTAGACTGGAATTGCAATTGAGTATGACGGTGAGCTGTTGAATTGCTTACTAGATGCTAAAAAGCTAATAAAAAGCATATATATTTGAGCCAAAAATAGCTCATAACTTTCAAATGCAGAAGCCATCTTTGTGAATAGCTTCTCATAAAAAAAGCATAGCCGAGGCAAAAACTCTGAAATGTCTTCAAATTGCGAATAGCTTACTCATCGGTTACAATACACTTTTCAGCAATATTTCGGTTCAAGTATACTTGTCAATGAATGGATGATCCTGGTTGGTAATTTTTCCGATATGTTTCATATGCTCTGTTAATCATTGTTTAAACTCTAAACGCTGCTGCAGTTTTTTATACTCAACTTTGTGATTCTGTCTTTTTAGAGATTGGCTCATAATGTTTCATAAGCAAAACTTACAACATGTGATTCCGATTTATTTTGGTGTCTGTATTTTCGTTTAAAATGATCTAATCTGTTTTTAATTTTAGTAACACGGTTTATAAATTTTATATTTAATTTATTATGTGTTTTTAATATACCAATATAAAAGAATCCAAACATGGAGAAGAAAAGAATCGCCAATCCACTCTTTATCCATTTTATGGATCTTGCAATCTACTTTCCTTTTATTTTTATTTTTGTTCTGAAATTCTACTGTAGATGTGGTTTATGTTTGCTTATTAGAGGGGCAATTCATAAATTTGTTCTTTCGAACTTCTATTGTTTTAAGAGTGTTGGGTTTGTTTCTTTTTTATGTAAATCAAATCTCTAAGTTGGTTTTGTTACTTGTGCCTCATAGGGACAAGAACTTCCGGTTATGGGAAAAGTGCAGTTGATCGGATACCATTGAAAAGCAAGAAACTCAGCCACTTAAAGCTTATGATGTGGTCAGTGACAGTGGAAGGAAAAGAAAATCTACGAGATAAACAATATCCAAAGAAGAAGGGCAACAAATCATTATCGGTCTAAGAAAGTATTGACTCATGGGTAATAATATTTTAATATATGATAAATGAACAATATTATTTTTGTTTGATCCTTCAGCTTAAAACGTATGGAAAGATATGAATGTAAAAGGGTACAAAACTATATGAGAAAGGAAGAAATATTTTTGAGAAGCAGAGGTGTTTGTATAGCCTTCTCCGTATGCGATTTGGGAAAAAGGTGTAATGTGTATGATACCAACAAATCCTTAAGATTTATGTTCTTTCTAAGCTGAAAGGGATTTTTGATGTGCTTTTTTTTTTCTTAGATGTTGTATATACAATTAATCATGATATATGAGAGTAACTTGAATATCTACTTCATGAGAGGAAAGGTAGGAGATGGTTCTAATGCGGAATATGTGCCATCAAAGAGTTTGCAAGCCTCTTTGTGGGGATAACAGTTATTGAATTTGAGACATGGGAAACCTCCAAATTTTTGTCCCAATTGATATAGTATAACCATTGCACCTTGTGACTTAGGGTACATCTTTCGTTTCTTGATATATTAAGTGATTGGTGTGTATTTTTTTAAGTGATATGGATTCTTCTTGATGATGGAATTTAAGTGAGAAGTACATGGTTTAATGCGGCTCAGTGTTGTTGCTGCTCATTGCAAGTTTGAATAATAAGCTAAGAGTACTGTACAGTGGTGTGAGTTTCAAAGATCATGAAGTCGCAACTACACTTTCTTTAAAACCTATTGATCTGTTGTCAAACAAAAAAAAAACCTATTGATCATAAGAATGTTTCGGGTTTTCTGCAAATCAACCCTCGAGTGTGTTTTTTTTGCAATTGTACCCTCCATTCTCGAAAAATGCAAGTCAATCCTCCACACAATGGTCAACCCGCAATATAAACCTCAGCTGTATCGATGACGTGTAAAGAGTAAACGCTGCGTTTGTAAAGAGTAAAAACAACAAGAAGTTTTATTTTGGTTTAAGTAAGAGGGGAGGGCATCATCAAGCAATTGGGGCAAAAATAGAAATTAGGGATTTTGCTCTTTCTTCTGTCGTGGTTCAAGTGTCAACGAAATTGAAGGTTGATATTGTTGCATCTGCTTCTGAGGTTAGTAAGTTAAATATTTGGCTTCATTTTGTTGGTAATTAGGTTGAAAGCGTATCACAAAACGGAGAAATTTTGTAATTTGAGAAAATGATTTGATGTTTTTAGAAGTAGAAATGTCAATTCGAGGTTTTGAGATCCATTAATAAGTATGGAAAGTGAATAGTTTGTTACTAATCATGCTCGAATTTTTGGGTTTTAATTGTTCTTGAACCCGCTGGCGATGTTTTAGTTGTGTGTTGTTTTAATTGTTAATGTGTGTGTTCGACCAACTTGTTTAAAATTTTATTGATGTTGTAGGACGAAGATGGGCATTCACAGCTATACTCAGCCGTCAACTTCAAGTAGAAGTGGTAGGGGAGACAGTGCAAGGAATGTAATAAAAGAATATGGGCTTATGGAAGAATGTTATTGTGGAGGTCGGGCTATAATCGATACTTGTCGTTCTCGGATTGACCCAGGAATGAGGTTTTTTAGTTGCCCCAACGCAGGCAATGGAGAATTTCATATTTGGAAGTGGTGGGATGAGGCTGTCATGGAGGAGCTATGTCTCATTCATATCAATGCTGGTGATGTAGCAGAGAAGATGGACCTATTCATGGCTAAGGGAGAAATTGAAGTGCTCCAGAATGCACAGGTTGAGACTGCGCAGAAGATAGCGAACTTGGAAATGGAATTGGCTGAGATGAAGAAGAAGAAAAGTGGCATAGCAATAAGGTTTGAGATGCATATTATGATTGCTGCAGCTGTTGTTTTCCTCTAATTCAACATGCTTATCCAATTTAAGTAAGACCAGGAAGGCTTCCAAAATTGTTTTCCTTTAGTTAAAAGTTGTAGTATCTAAGTTTAAGACCTTCAATTATGACTTTAAGTATCTTTAGATTTTAATTATGTTTGTTTGCAAACGGTTATGTTGGAAATTGTTTATGCATAATATTTATCTGATCTATGGATATTGTCTGTGTATAATATTTGACAAGATCACGTAGTGTTGCATATTGGTCATTGTAATGAAGTAAACAGAAGAAGTGCAAAAGGATACCAAGTTTGATATTGCAAGATAAAACACATGAAAACCAAGTTTGATATACAAAGATTCAAAAGGATACCAAGTTTAAAATTGAAAGACAGCACATAAGCAAATTTTAAAACAATAACTAAAGCATAAGGATAGTTAAACAGAGTTTGGCAATCAACCGTTTTAGACACAAAACGAAGATCACTTCTCAGTAGTCTTCTTCTTCTCTCTTGAACGATTGCAAGCAGCCAATTTTGTTCTTCTCTCTTGAACGATAAAGCGTCTTGGTAAGATAGTATTGTCATTTGTATCAGTCACACGTGAGCCAATGCAGACATAGTCATCACCAGTCAAAGAGCTTGTAAAGAGACCATCTGTCTCCTACAACACCTCTCTTAGTTAATAGTTAAGCAACATGTAGTTATGAAAAGATGAACTTCCTGCAACCAAGTGTTTACATAATCAACAGAGAAGAAGCAATTACCCTTCGAAGATGTAGTGGCTCGGTGTCATAAATAGGTTCTTGTCGAGTAGTTAGGTTGGGTTGAGAGGATGAAACACCATCAAACTGGCTTTTGCAAGGTTTTCCCCGACGCTTTTTTGGGAGAGCAGGTGAAGGGCTTGGAATATCTTCAAGTGGTTGGCTGTGTGTAACAACTTGAGAAGAAATCCTTGGTACTTGAGATGGTTCCACAGATGCTTGAGAAGATGATGTAGATATAACCGGCACTCGAAAAGATGTAATCGGTCTTATCCTTGGCCTCCCACATGGGTTCTTTGGCGGCCCCTCGACAAGTAGACTCTCACAATATAACCTATTGTGTCCTTCTTGTCTACAGAGGCCACAATGCTATAAAGTGTAAAATGTTTAGTTTTTTTGTTAAAAATAGATTGTTGAAATGCTGTGAAGAACTGCCAATAACACTTACAATCTTAGTTCCTCTCTTCGGAAGCATTCCTGGTCTTGCTTCACCAACTTCTCTCTTCCTCTTCTTCCCTGGAGGTCTCGTGACCTCAAGCGTTCTGCGCATAAGCTCGTTCTTTCACGTTTCCACCACGTTTCATCTCTAATCTCAGAGACTCTGAATCTTCCCATCCTCCAGCTACAGCGTGAGCATTGGACAAAGCCACATACGCGCTTGTCACTTGCTGATTTGACTGTATTAACCGCTTGCTAGCTTCACAAACAATATCAACTCTTCCATGTAACCTACCAGCTGAAAGCAGAGCTCCCCACATGAGCGCACCTTGCTCTGCTCCAACTTCTATCGTCTTCGCCAATTCATAAGCTTCATCAACACGACCAAATCTCCCAAGCATATCAACAACGCAAGTGTAATGCCTCGGGTCAGGAACCACACCATGCTTCTCCTTCATTGAGTTCAAGTATCCTAACCCTTCGTTGACAAGACCCGAGTGGCCACAAGCGTGTAGCACGCCGAGTAACGTCACATAGTTAGGCTTTATTCTCCTTGAAACCATCTCATCGAATAGTTGAATCGCCGGTTCACCAAGTCCATGCTTTGCCTTTGCCATGATCATAGAAGTGTACGATATAACAGAGTGACACCGAATCCTCAAGAAGATCTTCTCCGCGCAGCTCAGAGACCCGCATTTCGCGTACATATCAAGAAGCGAGGTAGCAACCACGATGTTCGATTCGTAACCTCCTCTAGTGACTAACCCGTGAGAAACTTTTCCCCATTGTAGCCTACCTAAACTCGTGCAGGCGCTGATAACACTAGCCAGCATAAACTGATTCGGTCTATCGTTCGTCGAAGCAGCATTGAACGATCTAAACAGCTCAATAGCTTCGTGACCTCGAGCGTTCTGCGCATAAGCAGTGATCATCGAGGTCCAAGATTTCTGCCATAACTAGAAACAACATTTCTGCCATAACTAGCCATGGAATCGAAAACCCGTCTAGCCGTTTCCACATCGTTGCATTTACCGTACATGTCAAGAAGAGAGGAACTCATCACGGTGTTGCTTCTGAGCCCGGAAACCTCAAGACGGGCATGGATGTTTTTCCCGATTCTTGATTCTGCCAAAGCCGAGCAGGCTTTAAAGACGCTAGCGAACGTGAACTCGTTGGGAGACACGGATCTGGCTTTGTGCATCTCCTGAAACATAGAAAGAGCAGTTTGTGGTTGACTCGTGTCGTTGTATCCAGAAATAACCGAAGTCCAGGAAACGACATTTGGTTCGCACATTTCATCGAACACCTTGCGTGCAGTGTTGATTTCTCTGAGTTTGACATACTTATTTATGAGGAGATTCGCAGTGAAAGTGTCAGTTGCGAATCCAAGTTTCAGAATCAAAGTATGTAATAGATTCGTGAGAAAGAGGTCGGTAGTTTCTGAAAGCTTCTGGACCAAGAAAGCTTTGGTTTTGAGATGAAAGAAATCGTTTTTTGGGAGTGAAGGACAAACGAAGAAGCCGCGGGGGTAAAACGGACATATTGGAGAAACCGTTTATTCATTCGGTCAATGCTCCTAGTTAACTTAAGTTGTTAACTCTGACTCGAAATTTGTTTTTCTAACAAAAAAAAAGCACACAAAACAAGTATGTCAAACATAAAGAGTTTGATTAGTCATGTCACATTGTCACCATTAATAGTTCTGTTTCAGAAAAAATGGTCACCATTACTACTTTTTCTTCCTATTTTTATCTTGTTTTGGATAGCCTTGTTTACTGAAAATATGATCTTAATGAATATTGAACTTTTCCCTTTTTGGGGTGTCTATAGAGATAACCAAAATTGTTTTCCCCCATATTTCTCCTAACTGTTTTGTATGATCTAATATGCATTCCCATTTTTCTCAATGCCATAACTCACAACAAGAACGGCAAGTGATCCAGTCATAACAAAATCTAGTGTATGCTTTGGCACCAGATAAATTCTCTACAACAACAACTGAAAAAAAAAACTTCGTAGATATTTTTAAAATCAAAACATAAAACTTATAATTTTTAAATTCACTTGTATGTTGCAATCTAGTAAATAATCACATTGTGTTAAAATTCCTATTACCAGCTGTCTTCTAACCATCTCAAGAAGCATCATATCATCTACGTTAAAAAGCTCAACAATGTCATATGTTGTTACTCTTCTACCAATTGTTTTCAAAAGTAAAATTATAATCTATAACATGAATTAAACCATAATTATATAAAATTAAATGTAATTTACCAATTTACATTCTCATCATGTTTACAAGTTGTTGCAATACAAGCATAAGAAAATTTCATCCATAATATCTATGAATAAAAAAAGAAGCAAAAACAGAATTACACTGTGATATCCATTATCTTTAATAATTGTCAGCATTTTCATTGTCAAGAGGTTCGTGGTCATATATTGTGCAATACATCACATAGAGATTTTTGATTTTCAATTGAAAACCAATATTTAAAGATGCTTCAATCGTTCTTATAAGTACGTTCAGCATATTATTGTAAAATAATAAATTAATATGATTAAACAGTTAATATTTTATAACAACAAAAACATATTATGAATGATGATTATAACTATGATTATACAACTAATTTGATGATGATTAGACATTAGAGTATCGTCCAGTTTAACTTGAATTTGTAAATTAGAACTCATATATCTTAAAAAATTTAGTCAAACTAATTCCAATACTTTTAACAAAAAAAAATAACACAAAATAGTATGCCAAACTTTAGAAAGCCAAATATTAAGATTTTGGTTGTTCAAGTCACCATTACTACTTATTTAACTTCTTCTATTCTTATCTTTTTGTGGGTAGCCTTCCTTAACCGGAAACTTGATCATTATGAAAATTGATACTTTTCATTTCTTGGTGTGTGGATATATGCAAAACCAAAATCTTTATTTTCTCGTTCTTCTCATATCGATCAATATATATCTCTATATTTATCGACGTCAAAACCAACTATAATAACAACTTGTGTTCTTCGCATAGTTAAATCCAACATAAACTTTGGCCCCTTGTAAGTTTTCTACAATCAAGAATTAAAAATAAAAAATTAATAGATAATATATTAAATTAAAACAAAATCTTACAGTTTTGATGTTTAGTGACGTGACTATTATATTGTAACTCAGTTCATAATGTTAGTTACCATATTACATTTTGATTTCTAACCATCTTAAAATGCATAATTTCATCAACGTTAAAAGCTGAACACTATCATCTACTGATAGTCTCTCTACGTATTTTCTTAAAAGTAAAGTTATAATATATAAGATTAGTAGATCAAACCGTGACTACAGAAAACTATATTTAGTTTACCAAGTTACATTATCATCATGTTGACAAGTAGTTTATAAGAACATTCCGCTTCGTCTAACACTTCGTGATCTTTAATATGATTGCCAGCATTTAAAAGGATTTCAATACTTTTAACAAAAAAATAACACAAAATAGTATGCCAAACTTTAGAAAGCCAAATAACATATTAAAGATTAAATTAATATGATCAACCAGTTAATACTTTTTATAACAACAAATACATATTATATATGATGATTATAATATGCCAGCATAGGTGTAATTTAGTTTTAGATACTCATACTACAGCTTAATAGTATATGTGGTTTAGTTTTAGACATTCATAATGTAGCTTAATGGTATTTCGTTACACTATACTAATATTTCATATCAACATATTAATGTATTCTAAGTAAGTATGTGTCGAACCCAACAAAGTAGTAAGTAGCAATCTTAAGCTACTTCTGCTGTCTTCCATTTCGTCAGAAAGAAGACAAGAATCCAGATGTTATGTTTCACTCATTTCCTGGCATTGTGCTCTGTATCTGTATTTAGTTCTCTCTTTGGTTGTATATGGACCCGATAGAGCAAGATGCTGACATGATGCTCTTCTGCTTCTGTATTTCTATTGGGGATGTTTTTGATGTTCACTTCTCCATTTCGCCTTTCTTAAATGCTGCATTTCAGTAGTGTAAGCTTGCAGCATAAACCTCATTGACCCTTTTTTTTTACTGTATGATAATTGTAAATTGTTGAAGATGAAATTTGTTTATATTGACCATCAAAGTTGTATCTGAACGGTACCACCTCAGTTCCATTTCTAAATCATATACTATGTTTTATTTTCCTTTGAATAATTAAGTTATATTTTACTAGTTATAAATGATATCCTTCAAACCGCTTTTACATCAACTCTTGCATGTGAACCTAAGAAGTATGGAAGAACAAGAAGTGTCCATGGAGGATTTATGCATCTATCAACAGCAGCAGTATTAGAGTGGTTTTTAGGTCGTTCAATGATGTGCATAACTGCACATGGCAAGATAGGGTCTCCCTGCTGACAAATGCTCGAATTGCTGACATCTACATAGAAGAATTTAGGATCAATCCGAATATCTCGGCAAAGCAACTACAGAAGAAGCTCATAAAACGTAACATAAATGTTTCAGAAACAATATGTGAGCGAACACGGTTAAAGTGCTTGCAGACATTTGATGATGAGCAAGCCGAGTCATTTGCAAGAATCCACGATTACGTTGGTGAGTTAAAAAAGACTAATCATGGATCGACAGTTGAATGCGAGGTACGAGAGTCCAAATTCTATAGGTTCTACGTTTGTTTTCATGCTCTAGAAGAAGGATGGAAGTCATCATGTAGGAAGATAATTCACATCGACGGAACATTTCTGAAATGGAGGATGACTGGTCAGCTTTTGGTGGCTTGTGGAAGAGACCCAAACGATCAGATGTTTCCCATAGCTTGGGGCATTGTAGATGTTGAGAACAAGCCAAATTGGGAGTGGTTTTTTGAGCATTTGTCTAACGACTTGGATCTAGAAACTGGAAATGGGCTGACACTTGCTAATGACCAGTGTAAAGGTTTGATTGGAGCAGTGAAAGACGTGCTACCGTTTGCAGAGCATAGGTTATGTGCAAGACATGGCCATGCGAATTGGAAAAATAAATATTATGGAGCAGACTTTGAAGATTTATTCTGGGGAGCTGCAGATTCTTACTACCATGCAGCCTTTAAGAGGAAAATGAATGAACTGAAGCATCTATCTCAGTCTGCTTATGATGATTTGAGGATATCCGTTTACTGTCCATGGTCAAGGTGAGTTTTCTGTTTGTATTCTTTGTATTCTGGCTTATTTTCGGTTATATTTGTAACGTAACTCTATTTATTATGTTGACAGGACATATTTCAGTGAGCATTCAAAGTGTGGTGCGGTTGAAAACAATCTAGGAGAGTCTTTCAATGCAGCCATTCGGATTGCAAGGACCAAACCCGTGGTTGAGATGCTTGAAGACATTAGAAGATGTGTGATGACTTCAAATGAGAAGAAGCGATCCGAGGTAGAGAAAGCTAAAGGATCTTACACTCCTAGAGCAAAGGCTTTATTGGACCAACAGATTTACAAAACAAAAGATTGTATCCCTTTAAGTTGTGGTTTAGGCGAGTATGAGGTTACCTATTTTAATGACAGGTTTGTAGTGCAAATGAGAGGTGAACCGAGTTGTGGCTGCAGGATGTATAAAGTCAGTGGCATCCCTTGCTGCCACATGCTTTCGGCCCTGCGTATGGAGAGACACAATGATCAAGATCTAAATCTGCTTCTTTCTCACTGGTTCACCGTAGAGAAGCTAAGAAGCTGCTACGCTACTCCATTGAAGGCGGTTGGAGGCATGAACATGTGGAATAGCACTGATGCGTGTGTAAATCCACCTCCATATAAGAGGCCTCCTGGAAGACCTCCAGGGAAGAAAAGAAAGAGAGAAGTTGGTGAAACAAGACCAGGAATGATTCCTAAGAGAGGAACTAAAATTGTAAGTATTGTGAATCTTGCAATACTGTTTTTATCTTTGCAAAACACAACACTAAACTTGTAATTGTTGATACACTCTTGACAGCATTGTGGCCTATGTGGACAAGAAGGACACAACCGGCTATATTGTAAGAGTCTACTTGTTGATAAGCCGCCTTCAAACCCACGTGGGAGGCCAAGGATACGACCGGTTACGGAAGCACCAATGATGTCTTCTCAAGTGCCTGATATATCTGCATCGTCTTCTCAAGCACCGGTGGTAGCTTCTCAACTTGTTGCACAAAGCCAACCAATGGAAGATCTTCCAAGTCTTTCAGCTGCTCTCCCAAAAAGGCATCGAGGAAGACCTCGCAAAAGTCAATTTGATGGTGTTTCATCCTCGCAACCAAACCTTACAACTCCACGAGAACCTATTTATGATACAGGGCCAGTACATCTTCCGAGGGTAAGTTCAAATGATTGTGTAAACATTTGGTGGTTATGTGTCATTTGGTGGTTATGTATTTGTGTAAACTCTTGGTGATGACTTTGTTTATTGTGTAGGAAGGAGTTGGTCTCTTTACAAGCTCTATTACTGGTGACGACTACATCGCAGTTGGCTCACGTGTGACAGATACAAGTGACAACACCATCCTGCAAAGTACACTCTATCGTTCAAGAGAGAAGAAGAAATTAGCTGCTCGTGCTGCTGCTGGTGGGAAGAATAGTGAGAAGAGCGTGAAGTGATTATGTGTCTCAGTTTCTTTTGTGTCAAACTTTTTAGTCTTTTGAACATTGATTGTGTGTCTCAAACTCTGCTGTTTCCATGAATTTGTTATGTATTTTGATTCTCAATCTTCTTTCAAATACTATTTATGTATTTTGACTTGGGTATTATGTATTTTCAAACTTTATTGTGTATTTTGATTTTCTTATCATTTGTTCATCATTTGTTATTACAAAAATGCATAACACATATAAGACATAAGACACAAACGCCAACCAAAACAGCAAAAGAAGAGGAAGAAGAAGCTTAGTTACCAATCTGATCAAATACATAAGACACATAAAATCCATACATATAGACCCTTACAAGCTTGAAAATGAAGGATCTACAGCCGTTAACATACTTAAACTTTGAATGTCTTAAAAAATAAAGAACTAATGTCAAACTACTAATGTCTTACTTAAGGCAAATAAGAATGCTGAGTAAGAGAAGAACAACGGCTGCAGCAATCACAATTTGCAGCTCAAAGCCGATTCTTATGCCACTTTGCTTTTTCTTCATCTCGGCCAACTCCATTTCCAACTTTGCGATCTTCTTCGTAGTCTCATTCTTCAGCTCCTTGATTTCCCCAGTAGCCATATAAAAATCATCCAAGTAAGTGAAGAAATCCATCTTCTCTGCCATTTCACCAACATTGCCATCAATGAGAGTTAGCTCCTCTATGACTGCTTCGTCCCACCACTTCCAAATGTGACAATCTCCATCTCCTACATTCACGCAAGTGTAGAACCTCCTTCTTGGATCATCGGCGAGTGGGAAGTATCGATGATGTCATTAGCTCCACAATCACACTCCTTCGTAAGCCCATAATCTTTGATGTTTCTCGTCACACTTGAAACACTTGTTGAAGGCTGAGTATAGCTGTGAATGCCCATCTCTGTGGGAAGTGATAAAAGAAACCAAACATTCTATATCAATCAAACGGCTTAATCTCTTTCGATAACAACTAAATAAAAAACATGAACAAAAAACATAATCTATTTTATGAATCAGATTTTAATTCAGAAACTCGAGCCCTCACATGAACTCGAATCCATAGATCCACATTCTCTAAGCATTTCTCAATTCAGAAACTCGACCCCTCCCATGAACTCGAATCCACAATTTCAGTTATGATAGTTTCCGCATTCGACATTTCTACCATTTAAAGTCAACAAGATACAAAATTCACTAACCTCAGAAGCAGAAACACTAACAATCTTCAATTTTGTCGCCAATGGAGCCTCAACAAGAGAAGAAGATCGACTGAGCAAAACCTAATTTCGTTTTTTTCCCCAAATGTTCAACGAGTTGAAAGATATAAAGAGATAAAACCACGTGTTACATAAAAAACAACATGATTTTTATCAGTTCCATATTGCCTAAAACGCAGCGTTTGCTATTCCCTAACCGATATAACATCTGTTATAGACGAGGGTTGTTTAGCGGGTTGACCATGATGTGAGGGGTTGACTTGCATTTTCTGCAAATCAAGGTTAAACTTGCAAAAAAAAAATATTTGAGGGTTTAATTGCAGAAAACCCTTCAATAATCAAGTTTACTAGTTATAAACGATGATATCCTTTAAACCGCTTTTACATCAACTCTTGCGCATGTGAACCTATGGAGAAGCATGGAAGAACAAACGACCAATTTAAAAATGGTAAAACTCAGTTCACCAAAAATCATGACAATTGCAAGATCCATCCTTAAAGCAATGAAAACTATTCACTTCCTTAACAACAATCTCTCTCTCTCCACAATCTCACTGATCAGCTTGAAAGCCTCATGGCATTCTCTTCAAGATCCATCCTTAAAGCAATGAAAACTATTCACTTCCTTAACAACAATCTCTCTCTCTCCACAATCTCACTGATCAGCTTGAAAGCCTCATGGCATTCTCTTCAAGATCCATCCTTAAAGCAATGAAAACTATTCACTTCCTTAACAACAATCTCTCTCTCTCCACAATCTCACTGATCAGCTTGAAAGCCTCATGGCATTCTCTACATGTGACGATACACTAGCAAACGTGAACTCATTGGGACTTGGGAGATAGAGATATCTATCTTTATGCATCTCCTGAAACATAGACAGAGCATTTTTAGGTTGACCGATGTCGTTATATCCAAAAATAACCCAAGTTCAGGAAACGACATTTGGTTCACACATTCCATCAAACACTTTGCGTGCAGTGTGGATTTCTCTGAGCTTGGCATACTTATTTATGGGGAGATTTACAGTGAACGTGTCACTTGCGAATCCAAGTTTCAGAGTCAAATTATGTAATAGAAATTTTTTGAGAAAAAGGTCGGAAGATTATGAAAGCTTCTGGACCAAGAAACCTTTGGTTTTGAGTTTGAGATGAAAGAAATCGTTTTGGGAGTGATAGACAAACGAAGAAGTCGCGGGGGCAAAACGGACATTTTGGAGAAACCGGTTTATTCATCCGGTCAAATTGCCTATAATGCTCTCACACTCATGTAATACCGTTGCACACAGTATATATTTGCACTCACATACTTGGCAGACTCAAGCCTTGTCTCCTGCCAAGAAACACAAAAAGATAAGCACAAGAACCAGAGAACCGTTAGAGAGTAGAGAAAAATAAAATAAAAAAGGAAGACCAAGCTCATAACATGTTCTTCATCATGTTCTTCAATGGCTGCCTGTATGAGCAGTTCCATCAACTCCTCATTGCTCCCCGTTCATCTTCTATTTATGGTTTCCAGTCAAAGTTGACGACATTGAACACGTAATCGAAACCATCCCAGTCCACATCAAAACCCTATGAACAAATACAATAAGATTTTATAGAATAGCATGGATCTTGGAGGCAATGAAACAAATTGACTTATACATTAACCCTAAATCGAAGATATTACATATACCTGGCTTTCCTCGAACTGTTTTGTAAAAGAGACGTCGCTGTCCCTAACATTCCGGATCGTTCCGTTGACCTTTGAGGATTACTCTTCCCTTGTAGAACACGGAACCTGGTGGTGCCTTTGCCCTCGCTTCCGATTCTGTGTCTATCCTCAGCTTCTTTGGTGGCGGAATGTTGATCTCCGCCGAATCTTGGGACCGAATGCAATCGCCGGAAACAGCTATGGTCCAATTCCAAAACCCTATAAATCATATATTGTACGAATCCGCAGATAATGTTTGGCTTCGCTCGTCGAGAAAAAGATTAACAAAACTTCTTCCAATATATATGACTATTTAAATTAAATCTAATAACAATGCTGGATTCCTTGACTTGGAATTTGATGTTTAGCTTCTGCCTATGGGTTAAGCTGGTAGTTATTGAAGTCTTAACACGTTAATTTTAATAAGGGCATTACATTAAAGTTGCGTAAGAAGTAAAAAAAAAAAATGATTCCACACAAGGAGTTCATTGACGTCGTAATCACATGGCCAGGAGAAGAAGAATAAAAAGAGATTATAAGAAGAAGATGAAGCCATTTACATGTCTAGTGTGAGAATAGATCCAAATCGTTCTTGTGTTGGCCTTAGCCTGAATTGGTTTAAAAGACACTGACATGCCCAGGAGAAGAAGAAGAAGAGGAGATTAGAAGAGGAGATGAAGCCATTTTTACATGTTTAGTGTAAGAATAGATCCAAATCGTTCTTGTGTTGGCCTTAGCCTGAAGTCAACCACAATGTCCTCATCCATAAACTTCCTCACCTTAGTTTGGTAAAGCTTTGGCTCTGGATCTGGTGAGGAAACATCTTTGGCCCAAAATGTTATAAAAAACAGAAAACCTTGGACGCCTATTACATTTGCGCTCACATACTTGACAAACTCGAGTTGTGTTCCCTGCAAGATACAAAGCAAAACAAAACAAATTTAGAATTTTTCTTTTTAAAAGTAAAAATAAAAATTCATCGATGATCAAGGAGCTCTGACGTTTTCTTCGTTCTCTTCTCCGATGGCACTCTCTATGAGACGTTTGAGTAACTCATCGTTGCTAATAACATCATCGAAATCTCCTCCCCATTCGAATTTGACGGCAGCGAAGTCGTAAGTAATACTATCCCAGTCCACATCGTAACCCTATAATCATAAACACCAACCCATCACTCCCCACACAACAAATCCAGAAAACGAGAATACATCTACGTACGTAAACCCTAAATCAAAGGAATGAATATCACCTCGCTCTTTTCATACTGCTCAAAATACATCTCTCGCTGTCTCTTATAATCCGGGTCGCTCAGATCCGGTCGCCGGAGAATTCGTACTTCTGGTTCGACCTTCGCCTCCGCCTCCGCCTCCACTTTCAGATCTAGCCTCGGCTTCTTCGCCAGAGGACTAACAACCAAGTCCGTCGAATCTCCAAATTTGGTGATATCGCCATCATCACCGCCCTCGCTCGAAGCCGTAAACATTATTCCTTTCTTGACTTTCCCAGGAAGATCCCAGAAACCGTAGGATTATAATATATTGAGGTAGGGCTCTTACAAAAAGACTTTCCAACTTTTTATTTTATTTTTGTAAGCCTACCCCGTAGCTACCAAATATTTAAATGGTTTTGATTTGAATTAGGTCATTTTACGGTGTAATGCTGTGGGATTTTTGTATTTACTGGTTTAATCATGCGATTTCCGGAGTTTTTTTCGTTCTCTGGTACGTAAGGCTAAATTTGTTTTTATCATATTTTACTGCTGATTTGTTTCTAAATTTAAATTTTTATTTAATTATGATATATAAAATATATATATTTTCATATATGTTATCGGATAATTATATGGCCGAACACTTAAAATAAATTTAAATTTGATCCCGTATATTCTAATATCATTATTTTATGCTAAAAAAAAGTAAACTATGAATGTGTAGCCTTATATATAAATATGACCACTATTTTTCAACGGTTTGTCATATTTTCTATATTTTGTAAGGTTTATTTTCTGTTTTTTTTTTTCGCTATATATTGTTCAATCGTGGTTCCATAAAACAGTAGTTGTGATTGTTTTACTTTTTGTTTGTTCTTTTATAGTTTGACTAGGTATATAACTCGCGCTACGCACGAGTCTGTATTAATATTTTGGTTTATTTTTTTAACTACTATCTTTAAAATTATTAAAAATTATATATATTTATAAAAATTTTCATTTATATAAGAGAATTTAATATATAATGTGTAATTTATCAATGACACCTATCGAATTATCCAACTTTGACGTACATATACATTTGATTTAGAAAAATATAATCTTGCTAAGATTTTTGGTATTATTTTCTGCTTTCCATAGAATTTCTATAGTTCTTTTTTCTTGAAGGTTTATGTGTTCAAATATTTAGTTTTTTACTGAAAGTCTTATTGATGTTGTGCACCACTGTATATATAATTCATGATTCATGTTGATTCATGTTGATTCATATTTAATTTTGTTAGGAAGCTGTAATGATCATGCAAAACTATTTTTTCCTTCTCCATCATGTCTTCCAAGATTTTTATGTTATATTTTTATTCAGTTTTCATTGTTTTAATTGTTAATTCGAGTTGTTGTAGATATTTTTAAATTGATAATTGATAATAGTTACTTTTTTATATATGTATTGTTAATTGTTAATTTTTTTATTTAACTTTAAATTTTTTAAACCATATTAACATTTTCTGATTTAATAAATATGTTGATTTGGATCAATCAGATTGAATTTACTCTTTTGTTGGACATAATTTGTCAAATTAACTTTTAATGTCTTAATTATACTTAATAATTTTTGGTTTGATTTAAAAGCTGATGTGGACCAATTAAATCAAGTTTTTCTTTCATAATCATACTTAACATTTTTTTATTTAATGAATATGCTGATGTGGACCAATCAGATCGAGTTTTTTAATCTCATGTGGACGCTCTCAATGCACTATGCCATGAACTTTTATATTATATGATGATTGTCTGTCTATATTCACTCTGTTAGTTTTGAGTCTCAAGGTACCGTGACAATCCATGAACTTGCCCTTAGAGATTGTATGTTCCAATCGCCTTCTCTGAATTCCAACATAGGTATGTTTTGTGGAATAAATCTTTGGACCTATGTTTATTTTTATAAATTGGGTTATGAGTTTTTTTTTTTCTATAATTTGAACACTTGTAGGATAATCTATTTACTGTTTGTTAGCTGCTAAGTCGGTGTCATTATAAGAAAACTGGATGACGCATCAGCTGAGTTCCTCATATAATGATTGTTTAGAAGCAACGTTATGTTTGATTATTTACTTTGTTTGCGCATATTTGTTGTTTTTTCCTGTTTTTGATTATAATTTATTTGATTTTTAGATTTTTTTTAAACTATTACTCATGTTTTGTTTATTTGTCTTCCACTCTTGAGGTAGTTATGCGCATGTTCGTTTGGATGGGATTCCATAACTGGTATTTGGAGATCACGTCATATTTGCCGTGGTTCAGAAGGTGGGTGTTTTTTTTCTATAATTTGGTTTTTTCATGTTAAGTTCGTTGGTTTCACTTTATTTTTGTGGTTCTAGACTGGAATTGCAATTGAGTATGACGGTGAGCTGTTGAATTGCTTACTAGATGCTAAAAAGCTAATAAAAAGCATATATATTTGAGCCAAAAATAGCTCATAACTTTCAAATGCAGAAGCCATCTTTGTGAATAGCTTCTCATAAAAAAAGCATAGCCGAGGCAAAAACTCTGAAATGTCTTCAAATTGCGAATAGCTTACTCATCGGTTACAATACACTTTTCAGCAATATTTCGGTTCAAGTATACTTGTCAATGAATGGATGATCCTGGTTGGTAATTTTTCCGATATGTTTCATATGCTCTGTTAATCATTGTTTAAACTCTAAATGCTGCTGCAGTTTTTTATACTCAACTTTGTGATTCTGTCTTTTTAGAGATTGGCTCATAATGTTTCATAAGCAAAACTTACAACATGTGATTCCGATTTATTTTGGTGTCTGTATTTTCGTTTAAAATGATCTAATCTGTTTTTAATTTTAGTAACACGGTTTATAAATTTTATATTTAATTTATTATGTGTTTTTAATATACCAATATAAAAGAATCCAAACATGGAGAAGAAAAGAATCGCCAATCCACTCTTTATCCATTTTATGGATCTTGCAATCCACTTTCCTTTTATTTTTATTTTTGTTCTGAAATTCTACTGTAGATGTGGTTTATGTTTGCTTATTAGAGGGGCAATTCATAAATTTGTTCTTTCGAACTTCTATTGTTTTAAGAGTGTTGGGTTTGTTTCTTTTTTATGTAAATCAAATCTCTAAGTTGGTTTTGTTACTTGTGCCTCATAGGGACAAGAACTTCCGGTTATGGGAAAAGTGCAGTTGATCGGATACCATTGAAAAGCAAGAAACTCAGCCACTTAAAGCTTATGATGTGGTCAGTGACAGTGGAAGGAAAAGAAAATCTACGAGATAAACAATATCCAAAGAAGAAGGGCAACAAATCATTATCGGTCTAAGAAAGTATTGACTCATGGGTAATAATATTTTAATATATGATAAATGAACAATATTATTTTTGTTTGATCCTTCAGCTTAAAACGTATGGAAAGATATGAATGTAAAAGGGTACAAAACTATATGAGAAAGGAAGAAATATTTTTGAGAAGCAGAGGTGTTTGTATAGCCTTCTCCGTATGCGATTTGGGAAAAAGGTGTAATGTGTATGATACCAACAAATCCTTAAGATTTATGTTCTTTCTAAGCTGAAAGGGATTTTTGATGTGCTTTTTTTTTTTTCTTAGATGTTGTATATACAATTAATCATGATATATGAGAGTAACTTGAATATCTACTTCATGAGAGGAAAGGTAGGAGATGGTTCTAATGCGGAATATGTGCCATCAAAGAGTTTGCAAGCCTCTTTGTGGGGATAACAGTTATTGAATTTGAGACATGGGAAACCTCCAAATTTTTGTCCCAATTGATATAGTATAACCATTGCACCTTGTGACTTAGGGTACATCTTTCGTTTCTTGATATATTAAGTGATTGGTGTGTATTTTTTTAAGTGATATGGATTCTTCTTGATGATGGAATTTAAGTGAGAAGTACATGGTTTAATGCGGCTCAGTGTTGTTGCTGCTCATTGCAAGTTTGAATAATAAGCTAAGAGTACTGTACAGTGGTGTGAGTTTCAAAGATCATGAAGTCGCAACTACACTTTCTTTAAAACCTATTGATCTGTTGTCAAAAAAAAAAAAAACCTATTGATCATAAGAATGTTTCGGGTTTTCTGCAAATCAACCCTCGAGTGTGTTTTTTTTGCAATTGTACCCTCCATTCTCGAAAAATGCAAGTCAATCCTCCACACAATGGTCAACCCGCAATATAAACCTCAGCTGTATCGATGACGTGTAAAGAGTAAACGCTGCGTTTGTAAAGAGTAAAAACAACAAGAAGTTTTATTTTGGTTTAAGTAAGAGGGGAGGGCATCATCAAGCAATTGGGGGAAAAATAGAAATTAGGGATTTTGCTCTTTCTTCTGTCGTGGTTCAAGTGTCAACGAAATTGAAGGTTGATATTGTTGCATCTGCTTCTGAGGTTAGTAAATTAAATATTTGGCTTCATTTTGTTGGTAATTAGGTTGAAAGCGTATCACAAAACGGAGAAATTTTGTAATTTGAGAAAATGATTTGATGTTTTTAGAAGTAGAAATGTCAATTCGAGGTTTTGAGATCCATTAATAAGTATGGAAAGTGAATAGTTTGTTACTAATCATGCTCGAATTTTTGGGTTTTAATTGTTCTTGAACCCGCTGGCGATGTTTTAGTTGTGTGTTGTTTTAATTGTTAATGTGTGTGTTCGACCAACTTGTTTAAAATTTTATTGATGTTGTAGGACGAAGATGGGCATTCACAGCTATACTCAGCCGTCAACTTCAAGTAGAAGTGGTAGGGGAGACAGTGCAAGGAATGTAATAAAAGAATATGGGCTTATGGAAGAATGTTATTGTGGAGGTCGGGCTATAATCGATACTTGTCGTTCTCGGATTGACCCAGGAATGAGGTTTTTTAGTTGCCCCAACGCAGGCAATGGAGAATTTCATATTTGGAAGTGGTGGGATGAGGCTGTCATGGAGGAGCTATGTCTCATTCATATCAATGCTGGTGATGTAGCAGAGAAGATGGACCTATTCATGGCTAAGGGAGAAATTGAAGTGCTCCAGAATGCACAGGTTGAGACTGCGCAGAAGATAGCGAACTTGGAAATGGAATTGGCTGAGATGAAGAAGAAGAAAAGTGGCATAGCAATAAGGTTTGAGATGCATATTATGATTGCTGCAGCTGTTGTTTTCCTCTAATTCAACATGCTTATCCAATTTAAGTAAGACCAGGAAGGCTTCCAAAATTGTTTTCCTTTAGTTAAAAGTTGTAGTATCTAAGTTTAAGACCTTCAATTATGACTTTAAGTATCTTTAGATTTTAATTATGTTTGTTTGCAAACGGTTATGTTGGAAATTGTTTATGCATAATATTTATCTGATCTATGGATATTGTCTGTGTATAATATTTGACAAGATCACGTAGTGTTGCATATTGGTCATTGTAATGAAGTAAACAGAAGAAGTGCAAAAGGATACCAAGTTTGATATTGCAAGATAAAACACATGAAAACCAAGTTTGATATACAAAGATTCAAAAGGATACCAAGTTTAAAATTGAAAGACAGCACATAAGCAAGTTTTAAAACAATAATTAAAGCATAAGGATAGTTAAACAGAGTTTGGCAATCAACCATTTTAGACACAAAACGAAGATCACTTCTCAGTAGTCTTCTTCTTCTCTCTTGAACGATTGCAAGCAGCCAATTTTTTTCTTCTCTCTTGAACGATAAAGCGTCTTGGTAAGATAGTATTGTCATTTGTATCAGTCACACGTGAGCCAATGCAGACATAGTCATCACCAGTCAAAGAGCTTGTAAAGAGACCAACTGTCTCCTACAACACCTCTCTTAGTTAATAGTTAAGCAACATGTAGTTATGAAAAGATGAACTTCCTGCAACCAAGTGTTTACATAATCAACAGAGAAGAAGCAATTACCCTTCGAAGATGTAGTGGCTCGGTGTCATAAATAAGTTCTTGTCGAGTAGTTAGGTTGGGTTGAGAGGATGAAACACCATCAAACTGGCTTTTTCAAGGTTTTCCCCGACGCTTTTTTGGGAGAGCAGGTGAAGGGCTTGGAATATCTTCAAGTGGTTGGCTGTGTGTAACAACTTGAGAAGAAATCCTTGGTACTTGAGATGGTTCCACAGATGCTTGAGAAGATGATGTAGATATAACCGGCACTCGAGAAGATGTAATCGGTCTTATCCTTGGCCTCCCACATGGGTTCTTTGGCGGCCCCTCGACAAGTAGACTCTCACAATATAACCTATTGTGTCCTTCTTGTCTACAGAGGCCACAATGCTATAAAGTGTAAAATGTTTAGTTTTTTTGTTAAAAATAGATTGTTGAAATGCTGTGAAGAACTGCCAATAACACTTACAATCTTAGTTCCTCTCTTCGGAAGCATTCCTGGTCTTGCTTCACCAACTTCTCTCTTCCTCTTCTTCCCTGGAGGTCTCGTGACCTCAAGCGTTCTGCGCATAAGCTCGTTCTTTCACGTTTCCACCACGTTTCATCTCTAATCTCAGAGACTCTGAATCTTCCCATCCTCCAGCTACAGCGTGAGCATTGGACAAAGCCACATACGCGCTTGTCACTTGCTGATTTGACTGTATTAACCGCTTGCTAGCTTCACAAACAATATCAACTCTTCCATGTAACCTACCAGCTGAAAGCAGAGCTCCCCACATGAGCGCACCTTGCTCTGCTCCAACTTCTATCGTCTTCGCCAATTCATAAGCTTCATCAACACGACCAAATCTCCCAAGCATATCAACAACGCAAGTGTAATGCCTCGGGTCAGGAACCACACCATGCTTCTCCTTCATTGAGTTCAAGTATCCTAACCCTTCGTTGACAAGACCCGAGTGGCCACAAGCGTGTAGCACGCCGAGTAACGTCACATAGTTAGGCTTTATTCTCCTTGAAACCATCTCATCGAATAGTTGAATCGCCGGTTCACCAAGTCCATGCTTTGCCTTTGCCATGATCATAGAAGTGTACGATATAACAGAGTGACACCGAATCCTCAAGAAGATCTTCTCCGCGCAGCTCAGAGACCCGCATTTCGCGTACATATCAAGAAGCGAGGTAGCAACCACGATGTTCGATTCGTAACCTCCTCTAGTGACTAACCCGTGAGAAACTTTTCCCCATTGTAGCCTACCTAAACTCGTGCAGGCGCTGATAACACTAGCCCGCATAAACTGATTCGGTCTATCGTTCGTCGAAGCAGCATTGAACGATCTAAACAGCTCAATAGCTTCGTGACCTCGAGCGTTCTGCGCATAAGCAGTGATCATCGAGGTCCAAGAAACAACATTTCTGCCATAACTAGCCATGGAATCGAAAACCCGTCTAGCCGTTTCCACATCGTTGCATTTACCGTACATGTCAAGAAGAGAGGAACTCATCACGGTGTTGCTTCTGAGCCCGGAAACCTCAAGACGGGCATGGATGTTTTTCCCGATTCTTGATTCTGCCAAAGCCGAGCAGGCTTTAAAGACGCTAGCGAACGTGAACTCGTTGGGAGACACGGATCTGGCTTTGTGCATCTCCTGAAACATAGAAAGAGCAGTTTGTGGTTGACTCGTGTCGTTGTATCCAGAAATAACCGAAGTCCAGGAAACGACATTTGGTTCGCACATTTCATCGAACACCTTGCGTGCAGTGTTGATTTCTCTGAGTTTGACATACTTATTTATGAGGAGATTCGCAGTGAAAGTGTCAGTTGCGAATCCAAGTTTCAGAATCAAAGTATGTAATAGATTCGTGAGAAAGAGGTCGGTAGTTTCTGAAAGCTTCTGGACCAAGAAAGCTTTGGTTTTGAGATGAAAGAAATCGTTTTTGGGAGTGAAGGACAAACGAAGAAGCCGCGGGGGTAAAACGGACATATTGGAGAAACCGTTTATTCATTCGGTCAATGCTCCTAGTTAACTTAAGTTGTTAACTCTGACTCGAAATTTGTTTTTCTAACAAAAAAAAAGCACACAAAACAAGTATGTCAAACATAAAGAGTTTGATTAGTCATGTCACATTGTCACCATTAATAGTTCTGTTTCAGAAAAAATGGTCACCATTACTACTTTTTCTTCCTATTCTTATCTTGTTTTGGATAGCCTTGTTTACTGAAAATATGATCTTAATGAATATTGAACTTTTCCCTTTTTGGAGTGTCTATAGAGATAACCAAAATTGTTTTCCCCCATATTTCTCCTAACTGTTTTGTATGATCTAATATGCATTCCCATTTTTCTCAATGCCATAACTCACAACAAGAACGGCAAGTGATCTAGTCATAACAAAATCTAGTGTATACTTTGGCACCAGGTAAATTCCCTACAACAACAACTAAAAAAAAAAACTTCGTAGATATTTTTAAAATCAAAACATAAAACTTATAATTTTTAAATTCACTTGTATGTTGCAATCTAGTAAATAATCACATTGTGTTAAAATTCTTATTACCAGCTGTCTTCTAACCATCTCAAGAAGCATCATATCATCCACGTTAAAAAGCTCAACAATGTCATATGTTGTTACTCTTCTACCAATTATTTTCAAAAGTAAAATTATAATCTATAACATGAATTAAACCATAATTATATAAAATTATATGTAATTTACCAATTTACATTCTCATCATGTTTACAAGTTGTTGCAATACAAGCATAAGAAAATTTCATCCATAATATCTATGAATAAAAAAAGAAGCAAAAACAGAATTACACTGTGATATCCATTATCTTTAATAATTGTCAGCATTTTCATTGTCAAGAGGTTCGTGGTCATATATTGTGCAATACATCACATAGAGATTTTTGATTTTCAATTGAAAACCAATATTTAAAGATGCTTCAATCGTTCTTATAAGTGCGTTCAGCATATTATTGTAAAATAATAAATTAATATGATTAAACAGTTAACATTTTATAACAACAAAAACATATTATGAATGATGATTATAACTATGATTATACAACTAATTTGATGATGATTAGACATTAGAGTATCGTCCAGTTTAACTTGAATTTGTAAATTAGAACTCATATATCTTAAAAAATTTAGTCAAACTAATTCCAATACTTTTAACAAAAAAAAATAACACAAAATAGTATGCCAAACTTTAGAAAGCCAAATATTAAGATTTTGGTTGTTCAAGTCACCATTACTACTTATTTAACTTCTTCTATTCTTATCTTTTTGTGGGTAGCCTTCCTTAACCGGAAACTTGATCATTATGAAAATTGATACTTTTCATTTCTTGGTGTGTGGATATATGCAAAACCAAAATCTTTATTTTCTCGTTCTTCTCATATCGATCAATATATATCTCTATATTTATCGACGTCAAAACCAACTATAATAACAACTTGTATTCTTCGCATAGTTAAATCCAACATAAACTTTGGCCCCTTGTAAGTTTTCTACAATCAAAAATTAAAAATAAAAAATTAATAGATAATATATTAAATTAAAATAAAATCTTACAGTTTTGATGTTTAGTGATGTGACTATTGTATTGTAACTCAGTTCATAATGTTAGTTACCATATTACATTTTGATTTCTAACCATCTTAAAATGCATAATTTCATCAACGTTAAAAGCTGAACACTATCATCTACTGATAGTCTCTCTACGTATTTTCTTAAAAATAAAGTTATAATATATAAGATTAGTAGATCAAACCGTGACTACAGAAAACTATATTTAGTTTACCAAGTTACATTATCATCATGTTGACAAGTAGTTTATAAGAACATTCCGCTTCGTCTAACACTTCGTGATCTTTAATATGATTGCCAGCATTTAAAAGGATTTCAATACTTTTAACAAAAAAATAACACAAAATAGTATGCCAAACTTTAGAAAGCCAAATAACATATTAAAGATTAAATTAATATGATCAACCAGTTAATACTTTTATAACAACAAATACATATTATATATGATGATTATAATATGCCAGCATAGGTGTAATTTAGTTTTAGATACTCATACTACAGCTTAATAGTATATGTGGTTTAGTTTTAGACATTCATAATGTAGCTTAATGGTATTTCGTTACACTATACTAATATTTCATATCAACATATTAATGTATTCTAAGTAAGTATGTGTCGAACCCAACAAAGTAGTAAGTAGCAATCTTAAGCTACTTCTGCTGTCTTCCATTTCGTCAGAAAGAAGACAAGAATCCAGATGTTATGTTTCACTCATTTCCTGGCATTGCGCTCTGTATCTGTATTTAGTTCTCTCTTTGGTTGTATATGGACCCGATAGAGCAAGATGCTGACATGATGCTCTTCTGCTTCTGTATTTCTATTGGGGATGTTTTTGATGTTCACTTCTCCATTTCGCCTTTCTTAAATGCTGCATTTCAGTAGTGTAAGCTTGCAGCATAAACCTCATTGACCCTTTTTTTTTACTGTATGATAATTGTAAATTGTTGAAGATGAAATTTGTTTATATTGACCATCAAAGTTGTATCTGAACGGTACCACCTCAGTTCCATTTCTAAATCATATACTATGTTTTATTTTCCTTTGAATAATTAAGTTATATTTTACTAGTTATAAATGATATCTTTCAAACCGCTTTTACATCAACTCTTGCATGTGAACCTAAGAAGTATGGAAGAACAAGAAGTGTCCATGGAGGATTTATGCATCTATCAACAGCAGCAGTATTAGAGTGGTTTTTAGGTCGTTCAATGATGTGCATAACTGCACATGGCAAGATAGGGTCTCCCTGCTGACAAATGCTCGAATTGCTGACATCTACATAGAAGAATTTAGGATCAATCCGAATATCTCGGCAAAGCAACTACAGAAGAAGCTCATAAAACGTAACATAAATGTTTCAGAAACAATATGTGAGCGGACACGGTTAAAGTGCTTGCAGACATTTGATGATGAGCAAGCCGAGTCATTTGCAAGAATCCACGATTACGTTGGTGAGTTAAAAAAGACTAATCATGGATCGACAGTTGAATGCGAGGTACGAGAGTCCAAATTCTATAGGTTCTACGTTTGTTTTCATGCTCTAGAAGAAGGATGGAAGTCATCATGTAGGAAGATAATTCACATCGACGGAACATTTCTGAAATGGAGGATGACTGGTCAGCTTTTGGTGGCTAGTGGAAGAGACCCAAACGATCAGATGTTTCCCATAGCTTGGGGCATTGTAGATGTTGAGAACAAGCCAAATTGGGAGTGGTTTTTTGAGCATTTGTCTAACGACTTGGATCTAGAAACTGGAAATGGGCTGACACTTTCTAATGACCAGTGTAAAGGTTTGATTGGAGCAGTGAAAGACATGCTACCGTTTGTAGAGCATAGGTTATGTGCAAGACATGGCCATGCGAATTGGAAAAAGAAATATTATGGAGCAGACTTTGAAGACTTATTCTGGGGAGCTGCAGATTCTTACTACCATGCAGCCTTTAAGAGGAAAATGAATGAACTGAAGCATCTATCTCAGTCTGCTTATGATGATTTGAGGATATCCGTTTACTGTCCATGGTCAAGGTGAGTTTTCTGTTTGTATTCTTTGTATTCTGGCTTATTTTTGGTTATATTTGTAACGTAACTCTATTTATTATGTTGACAGGACATATTTCAGTGAGCATTCAAAGTGTGATGCGGTTGAAAACAATCTAGGAGAGTCTTTCAATGCAGCCATTCGGATTGCAAGGACCAAACCCGTGGTTGAGATGCTTGAAGACATTAGAAGATGTGTGATGACTTCAAATGAGAAGAAGCGATCCGAGGTAGAGAAAGCTAAAGGATCTTACACTCCTAGAGCAAAGGCTTTATTGGACCAACAGATTTACAAAACAAAAGATTGTATCCCTTTAAGTTGTGGTTTAGGCGAGTATGAGGTTACCTATTTTAATGACAGGTTTGTAGTGCAAATGAGAGGTGAACCGAGTTATGGCTGCAGGATGTATAAAGTCAGTGGCATCCCTTGCTGCCACATGCTTTCGGCCCTGCGTATGGAGAGACACGATGATCAAGATCTAAATCTGCTTCTTTCTCACTGGTTCACCGTAGAGAAGCTAAGAAGCTGCTACGCTACTCCATTGAAGGCGGTTGGAGGCATGAACATGTGGAATAGCACTGATGCGTGTGTAAATCCACCTCCATATAAGAGGCCTCCTGGAAGACCTCCAGGGAAGAAAAGAAAGAGAGAAGTTGGTGAAACAAGACCAGGAATGATTCCTAAGAGAGGAACTAAAATTGTAAGTATTGTGAATCTTGCAATACTGTTTTTATCTTTGCAAAACACAACACTAAACTTGTAATTGTTGATACACTCTTGACAGCATTGTGGCCTATGTGGACAAGAAGGACACAACAGGCTATATTGTAAGAGTCTACATGTTGATAAGCCGCCTTCAAACCCACGTGGGAGGCCAAGGATACGACCGGTTACGGAAGCACCAATGATGTCTTCTCAAGTGCCTAATATATCTGCATCGTCTTCTCAAGCACTAGTGGTAGCTTCTCAACTTGTTGCACAAAGCCAACCAATGGAAGATCTTCCAAATCTTTCAGCTGCTCTCCCAAAAAGGCGTCGAGGAAGACCTCGCAAAAGTCAATTTGATGGTGTTTCATCCTCGCAACCAAACCTTACAACTCCACGAGAACCTATTTATGATACAGGGCCAGTACATCTTCCGAGGGTAAGTTCAAATGATTGTGTAAACATTTGGTGGTTATGTGTCATTTGGTGGTTATGTATTTGTGTAAACTCTTGGTGATGACTTTGTTTATTGTGCAGGAAGGAGTTGGTCTCTTTACAAGCTCTATTACTGGTGACGACTACATCGCAGTTGGCTCACGTGTGACAGATACAAGTGACAACACCATCCTGCAAAGTACACTCTAT